AACCCCGAAACCCCGAAACCCCGAAACCCCGAAACCCCGAAATCACAGAGCATCTGAGTAATATCAGAGCGATAGCAGGCAATTCCTCCACCTCAGACGGCGGCGTGTCTCGTGTATCTTTGCGGCCATGCAGTGCTGGCATGGCTTGGCCAGTTCGAACAAGATTTGTGGTGGAACTGTTTGTCGCCTACATCCACTTGGGTCGCAATCGACTGCACTGAGGCCGCTATCGTTCGCCGTCGTAGCCGTCCGTCATTCTCACACTTGCCTCATCGGACCCACTCAACATGGTAAAAGTTGCCATCCTTGCCGCCTTTGCCGCCACCACGGCCACCGCCAAGATTGCCTCCAGCGTCCACCGCCTCTTGGAGGTCGCCGATTCCGTCAACGTCGTGGTCGAGTTCAAAGACAGCAATACCCAAGCTCTTCGCACCGCTAACTTGGAGCTCAACTCGATCCAGGGACGCGGCCCCCGCATCGCCCACTTGCGCTCGCTCTTGGTCAAGTCTATGGAGTCGTCCCAGCAAGCGGCACTTGAGCTCTTGACATCGCAGCCCGAGGCGTTCTCCGTGCGAGCCGAGCAGTTCCACATCAGCAACTCGCTCTTCCTCTACGGCGTCAACCGCATCGTGCTGGACGAACTAGCCAAGCTTGACACGGTGGCCCGGTCGTCGCGCGCTTGCCCGTGCTCGAGCACGATGACGCGGTCGTGGACTTGTCCGTCGTCTCGGACAACTCGACCGAGGCGACTGTTTTCGCCAACGAGTGGGGCGTCGACCTCATCAGCGCGCCGACCGTGTGGGCGTCCGGCAACCGCGGCCAAGGTGTCGTCGTCGGTGTGCTGGATACCGGGGCAATTGCGACCCACGACGCGCTCAAGGCCAACTACCGATCCACGTACGGTTGGTTCGACCCCACCGACAAGTCGGCCACCCCGATCGACACGAACGGTCACGGCACGCACGTTGTCGGAACGGCGGTCGGTGCGAACGGGATCGGGGTCGCGCCGGGTGCCCAGTGGATCGCGTGCCGCGGGTGCACGACGAGTTCGTGTCCCGAGGCAGCGCTGACGGCGTGCGCCCAGTTCATGCTCTGTCCCACGGACGCCAAGGGCCTCAACCCCAAGTGCGAGTTGGCGCCGCATGTGATCAACAACAGTTGGGGCGGCGGGTCTGGCTCGACCTGGTTCCAGGCCAACGTGAACGCGTGGCGCGCTGCCGGCATCATTCCCGTCTTTGCCAACGGGAACTCCGGACCGAGCTGCAGGACGGCCAACTCGCCTGGTGACTACAAGAACGTGATTGGGGTCGGGGCTGTCGGGTCGGACGACAGACTGGCGAGCTTTAGCAGTCGCGGGCCGGCTCGAGATGGCACGCTCAAGCCCGACGTGTCGGCTCCCGGTTTCCAAGTCCGTTCCGCGTGGAGCACGGGTAATTCGGCGTACAGGACCATCTCGGGCACCTCCATGGCATCTCCCCACGTCACGGGGGCTGTCGCGCTCTACCTGAGTCGCAACAAGGGCGCGACGTACGCCGAGGTGTACCGTGCCTTCACCACGTCCACCGACACGAGTCGGTTGACACCCGAGAATAAAAACTGCGGCGGCGTCTCGGACGCTAGATACCCCAACAACAGCTACGGTCACGGTCGCATCAACGTGGCGCGCGCAATTGGTGGCGGTCCTACGCCGACTACGACCCGTCCAACCACTCGACGCCCGGTTCCCCGCGTCGTCAACAACGAGGCCGAGATTGCTGTGCTGGAACAAAACCTCGCCGAGCTCCGCGGCAACTAGGAGGTCGTCATGATTATATTTGTGGATTACAATGGTTGTCGTGTGCAAGCGTTGGTCGTCGTCACCTGTAGCGCTACAACTCGTCGGTGACCTTTCGGTCCCATGACGACGCCATCGACACAGACACACCTGCCAGTGGACTTGCTCTCCGTTTTTTGCCCTCGAGTAGTGGCTTCGACGCAAGCCCAACGTCCCAAAACTCACTGTGGAGAGCAGCACTATAAACTTTGGCCGACGATTCCTTTGTTCTCTGTAGTACTCTCGATCGAAGCCTGCATGCAAAATATTGTCGCCTAGATTATACAAGGCACTCTGTTAAAATACGTCTTGTCCGCTGTTGTCGGCTGCTCCCTGCTAATCCAGTTCTCTCTGGGTTGAACCTGGTGGATGAAGCGGGCGGGCTACCGCGTTGGCAATCCCCGGCCGCGCCTGCGGCACCATTTGCCCCAGGAACAGTCCCAGGTCACTTTATGTCACCTGCAGCTCGCTCGTTATTTCCGTCGATGATCTTGACGCACGTGGCATGAGATCCAATGTCCAAAATTTGTGGCTCCTACAACTGACGGCGGCAGTGCAACCAATGCAGCATGTCCAGTGTGTTTGTACGACAGCGAGGCCACTCCCGTCCGTCCGCAAAGGTTGCTCGATCTGCGTTCGCATGACAGTCGTGCATTCAACGCCCACACTCTACGACAGAGTCGCAACAGGAGCTGTGCTCCACTCTTTGGCACTTTAGGTTGACATCCTTCACTGCCATGGTGTTATGTTCATCTACGTCGTCGCCGCCTTCGGTTTCGTCATGTACGCCACGGACACCAGGACCAAAAACGTGCAGATGACGCCGATGGCAAAAAAAGTGCTCAGCACATCGAACAGCACGCCTGCACAACAAAGTCTCAGATCTACTGGCCATGGCCGTGGAAGTGAATGCACCGTAGGGTGGGTTCCCAGGACACGTGTTTCGGAAAGCCGGGACAGCGAAGAGGGCGGCGATGAAGATGACCGGGTTGTCCGGGGCTCGGCGCTTCCAGATCACAGCCATGCTAGTCGCCAATCGAACGAGACCGAGTGAGATCGGGGCGGTTTCGAGTGAGTGAGGGAATGGGGGGGTAGCGTACCATCCAATGTACCCGATCGCAAACGTGACGATCCAGATCCCGACAAACACGAGCAAAACATACATGTTGAACGTTCGTCGGACGGAAATAGCCAGCGATCTACATCAGGACGAGTTGAGAAGGATGGAAAGACATGACCAGCATGGGCCAAGAAGACGCACGCGGTACTGA